TTATATATATGGAAGGAAGCTAACAGCTAACAAGAACAAGGTATGAATGCTCTTGCTTACACAGATTCCATATCTTGCAGGCGGTATTAACTTCATGCAACAAGATGTGCATGACCTTGCTCGCAGATTCCAACGGCTTTGCGAGTTTAGTGCCTTCACTGATTGGATAAGGACTCCAGCAGGCAACGCGTTGCCAGCACCTGCAGGCTCAGTTTCAGGAGTGGAAGAAGCAGAGTAGCAGACTGCCAAAGTGGAGCTCCTGGGTGTACACGAAAAGGAGCAGGGTATCTCATGTATAAAGGTCAAACGCGGCAGATATACATCACCTTTACTGGCTGCTGGCCTGCTGTATGGTAATGACGTCTAGCATTCGCCAGCATGATCACTAGTATCACTAGTCACTGTCATCAATGCTACAGGATGAGATGCATCATAAATCAGGAAAGAAGGCTGGGACTGGTTTTGGCATGTTGTTGATATAGCTACAGGAATGCAGAAGCTGAACCTTTAAAAAAACACAGTGTTGCTCTGAATTACCCTTGAAGAACCGCTGAACAGAATTTTCTCAAATGTGAGATATATGTAACATGATCCTTTGATAGTTCATGCTCTGCCTAGCTTAAAATGGAACAGACATGGTACAATTTAAAGCCATAATAACTAGCAGGATTTTAATAGCATATCTGGACGGCTTCATTGTGTCCAACAGAACCATGTAATGTAACTGGAACCATCTCCTGCAAAAAATGGAAATGTAACTGGACCATAACATTAGGAAATGGCAAGTAAAGGAGAAGAAGTTTCAGGAGAGAATCCGATGAACTTGTCTAACTCATCAGTCTGAAAGACGAGATGGGCATTGTCCAGAAAATTGAGAAAATAACTGATAATGGAATTTTCTTCCAATCAATAAATCAGATAATAAGAGACTAAAGTATGAGGACAGCAACCGGGACAAAGTTATCTGTCATTAGTTTAGTTACCATTTTTTCCCCCACACCTTTTTCCTTCACAGAGGGGGGAAAGTAACTAAGAGCATCTTGGCCTGTTCATTGCTTCAGAACGATCGTAAATTTCAAATAGGAACAGGTGTTTTCTCTCACACAAACCAAATAAAGAAAATAATAATCCACGACACATCTTGAATGTGTTTGATCGTTAAGGTGTCACTGCCTCATCAAACAAAAATTGCTAAATGGACTGTGTTATGTGAGTGTAGGTTAATTCAATAAAAGATACTGCAGTGCTGATTATATAAAATTGAAAAATAATCGACTTAATACACCGTACTGTAGATTTTTAGGACGTTCGCCTTCTTAAAAAAAAAGGACTTTAGGAGTTATGCCTATGGTTACTGCCTTACTGGGTACCCATGCAATCATTAGCATATAGCCTCTAGAACATTGTTATGTGATATCAGGAACAGCCTAGATAAGCAATAATAGAGACCAGGGGACTTTTACTATTCCAACAAACTAGTGCATCGGAGGATGTGTACTTGTTTTCTTTTCAAGAATAGCGACAATGAGGACTACTGCCATTTCGTCAGTGAAGTCTTGTATATTGACACTTAAAGAAGCATCTTAGTCACCCTTCACCCATCACTGGCAACGCAGATCATGAGACAAGAGTTAATAATAATGCAATAGCTTGCACTCACCTGGAAATAGCCACGCTTGAGGGTGTGTTTAGTTCGCGAAATGAAAACTTTTGAACGTCACAATGGATGTTTCGGGATGTCGGAAGGGTTTTCGGATACTAATAAAAAAAACTAATTACATAGCTCGTCTGGAAACTGCGAGACGAATTTATTAAGCCTAATTAATCCATCATTAGCGCATGATAGTACTGTAGCACTTATGGCTAATCATGGACTAATTAGTTTTAAAACATTCGTCTCGCGATTTCCAACCAAACTGTGCAATTAGTTTTTTTTTGTCTATATTTAATACTCCATGCATGTGCCACAAGATTTAATGTGATAGTTTTGGGTGAAATTTTTTTTTAACTAAACCAGGCCTGAAACGCAAATTTCTTTTAAAAGGCCACCACTCTACATCACTACCATTGCCGATAATTTGTGATTGCCTGATTTGCCATAAAGCAAACTTTTGTATAGCACTAATACCCTTGAATCCCGTGACAGCCTGAAAGACATCAAAGTTACTAGCGTTAGGAATAAGTTATAACCAGCAAAAAGGCAGTTGTGGGACACTTGTACTTGATGAGTGGTAAGCTCCATTGTTTGTACACTTTGAGACATGATAATGCTCATTAACATGACTAAGTGAGTAATACGGGCCTCAACAGAGAGAAAGACACCTAAGCACTTGAATGATCAGCTGCTGCTATATAATGCTCACTGTTTGCTCATTATTTTGGTTTCAAATTTTAACCAAAACCAAATTAAATTAACCGTATTTTTTCTCTCACGTAAAAAACCAAAGACTAAAGAATCTAAGCCAAAGACCAAAGATCAACCAAATGAATGCCCAAAGATACAACTAGTACTAGCTTTAATAAGGGGGTCAGCCTGGCTCCACCATCGCTGCCATTTTTAATTAACACTTCAAGAAACTGGGCTTCATCGACCTACTCAACGATCTCCACCATCCCAAATTGTAATCATTCCAAGAATCTTGGAGTCAAACTTTTTCAAGTTTGAAAAATGGGACTTAACATAGAAGATTGATGATGACATCAAATAGGTATAATATCGACCTACTAACGAATGAAGAATCTAATGATACTTATTTGGTATGATAAATATTATTATTTTGTTATATAAATTTGGTCAAACTTGAAAAACTTTGACTCTCCAAAATTTTTGGAATGACTTACGATTTAGGATGGAGGGAGTAGTACCATATTCGACCTAACTTTCAATCCCCGATAGATCAATCACATACACTACTACACACGGTTGAATTCGAATAAACTGACATGCCACGAGCAGGGATTCGAATCAGCGTCACTCTCGAATCTCGAACCCCGGAACAAGGCACCGCACGAACCGCCCTCCGCTCCTCCCCAAGCAAACCAACCAAAGCAATGGTGCCTCACCTGAACCATCCACGCAGCCACGCTGGTATGGTGAAGAAGTCGATGCAGCGTTGCCTACTGACTCTGGACGGCGCCAAGCGCCTCCTCGCGCCCTCGCCCGCCTCCGCATCAGCTCGCCGTTTGCCGCGCGTGGAGATGGAGGCCCGCCACTGCTGGCTCGGCTTTCCGCACGTTTGGCGACGGCCCATTAGCTCAGATCTGCTTGGAGATGTCGGGACTGATGGGCTTGCGCCTCGGCCTGCTCTGAACATATCTTGTACTATGGGCCGGAAGAAGTCAATGTTTATCTTCTTTGGCTATGGACTATGGTCGTGGTCCAGTTTTTCTTCTTCAAACTCCAAAACTATTTTTTTTTCATCTTTCAAAATCATTTAAGTTACCTCCTGTTTCGGCAAGAAGTGGTTCTCATGGGATTGTCATATTTCAAAAAAATTATGGGTAAGCATTTTAAAAGTTTTTAAAACATGAAAATATCTCTAAGCTTTTAATAATTTCGGAAAAAAAACTCAGATTGGGACATGATGAATCCCGATAAAATATTTAAAGATCGTGAAAATATATATAGAAGCTTCAAAAAAGGATTTATAGCTTTATAAAAATATAAAATAATCAAACAATCTAGAAATTTTTCAAAACACTCTAATCGATGTCTAAATGTGTTTAAAAACCTTCCACGACGAAAGCCATGGGATGCAACCAGTATGAATACAGCATACATTGATGATGAGTATCAGCTAAATGCATTTGTGTTGGTTGAATATAGAGTTTTTGTTATTGATGATCCTTCAAAAATCCACGTGTTGTGCTCCTTTTTGCTTTTTATGGGTTGTTTAGCGTAATGGTCTCATCATTTTGATTTAGTACCTACTCATACTCAATGTAACGTGTTAGTCCTTTAAATAATTGAATTGGCATTAGTCACCCTAATTTATTTGTGCGGCATAGGTGCACTTGTAGTAGATTATTATTATTATTAAAACTTTACATAACTCTTTTTCATGTTTTCAGTTATTCACGTATTATAAAACAATACTCCCTCCTATAAAATTATAAACTATACATGTATTTCAAAATTAAGACTTTATTGTCTTTGACTAACAACTAGTCTAGTAATATAAAAATTTTATAGTACAATAATGATAACACTAGATTTGTCTTTAGAAATACTTTTGATACTTTCGTTGTTGCCATAAATTATATATAATAATAGAAATTAACAGTCAAAGTATAATCTTAAATACCATAAGTCAAATCACGTCTTCTATTTTGAGATAGAAATAATAATCATTATGGGCTTCTTGTTAACATTACAACAAGATCGCCAACGGATGCCGACATCTATCTGCATAGAAATACTATGGGAGTCACACACATGTCCAACCTAGTCCATTTGTAATCACTGTTTCAGCTGCATTCTAAGTATTATTGCACGTGCTAACTGCTAAGTCCCCTACACACAGATTATTTTGTTAGGTTGGAAATTCTGTCAAGAAAAAGAGGTTTGGGCTCGAACGAATGGACACACCACCCACCACCCTGTCCTATCCCCGTTCCACCTCCACGTGGGCCCCACACCGACCCCACCTCAGCCCAAGAGGTCGTGGGCCCACCGGCACCTGAACTGTGGGCCCGACGCGCACGCCTCACGCCGAAGCCTATATAACTTGGCACCTCCTGCCATCCCCCGGCTTCTCCCCTTCCGCTTCCTTCCTGCGAGCCTAGTGCGCGAGCCGCGCGAGAGGAAAAGAGGCAGAACCAGCCCTCGCCTCCTCTCTCCCCTTCGCGAGAGAGAAGGGGAAAAGAGAGAGAAAAAAAAAATATTAGGGCTTTCTCCTCGATCCTCTCCGCGATTGCCCCACCGATTCGTCAATCCAATGCTGCGCGCCTCAGGGGTCTCGAATCCCCGGCAGCCGCCGCCGCCGCCGCATCCTCCAGGAATGGTAAGGGAGCGGCCCCGTCCCGTGGGGGGTTTTCGGGTGTTCTTAGCTGGGGTGCTGCTTGATATCGTCTTCAGGCGAATTCCTAGGGTTCTGGGCGGGCGATTCCGTTTTTCGGCGCAATGCGATGTCCTTGATCATGAAACGGTGGCAGCTTGGCCTGGGGTTGGGTTTTCGTGGGGGATGCGGCCCTGGCTCGGCGTGCCTAGTTGCGTGTATAGTGTACGGATCGTCGATGAGACCCTTGATCGAATCCGCATGTTGCCTGGATCTGTCTGTGAGAGTACGCGTGGAATTTGTTACCCTGGAACGCACAGCTGAGAGCTGATTTAGGCCCCCTGAATTTTGGCACAACTCTATTGATGATAGGGGGTTTGTGTTCTTGCTTTGGGTAAGACCAGAGGTTCTGTTTTGTACCGGGGTTCTGCAAAGCTGGGCGAGGGTTTCTTGAATTGGACTACCTTGAGATTGAGGAACGCGACAGAAGAATTTTCCATTTAGATGGTTAATTCTTTCTTTTGAAAATCCATGAATACCGATTTGTGTCTTTGCAGTTGGATGTGATTTGTACTGTGGGAGTGTTTAATGGTTGTAGGATCCTTTATAGGTTATTATTGAACCGTTTCCCCCACTTGATTGGTTGGTCTTATCTAGTATTGTTAGGTATTATTAAGTCCTTCTTGCTTTCTATTTTCTACTAAATCCAAGTGTGCAGGTGAAGAAACGCATTGGTGCTTTAAACGGTTGATTTGTTTCGGATAGGATTGCTTGGCCTGACGTAATGTTAGTCCAGATATTTGGCCTCATACGGAGACTGGAGCCCCCATCAAGTTATCTGGTCTGATATTGAACTCACATATGCTGATTTTCTTTATTTGGCATATCCACATATCCCCAATATGTAACGGTGCGACAATTCCATTAAATATTCTAAGTTGGTTATGTGGTATAGTTTATAGAAACGCACCTTCCGTGTGTGCTTGGATGTTACTCCTGAAAGATACTTAGCTGCTGGACTGTTTTGGCAAATGTCTCAAGATGGAGTTGTACATCTATTTCTTCTGTTCTATGTTCCCTGTCTTGGCAATCTGCATCATACTGCGTGTTGACTGAATTGATATTTAGTGTAGTCTCTTGCTATAGGACCATTCTGCATGATTTTAGTAATGCCTCACAGTCTCACACTTCTGTTCATGAAGTAAATATTAGCTAACACTACACCCCCAAAGAATGCTTTCTGCTTAATCTTGTACTCACTTTTTTTTTACACTTTGCCTTGCATTTTCAGTGAGCAGAATTGCTGGACACTCTGGCCCATCTTGCAGTGCACCTGCGTATCAGTTGTTTCGCCCTGTTACTCGTTCTATGACCCTTGGGTCTGATCCTATCGTGGCTTCACCTGGTTTCAAGGCAGGGGGATCTGCTAGCACAAGCACAAGAAGAAGTACTTCAGATGCTTCTTTTAGCACTCAGTTAGCTGCTTCACGACCAACTGCCACTCATGCCCGGACCCCTCTAAAAGTGACTTCATCTGGTTGGAAGCCTCTTACTCAACCTGTTGCTCTGAATGAAGAGAGGAAATGTGCAAGCCTTACAATCAACCCTACTGCTAAGCGTTCCAGAGTTGCTTCTTCCCGAGCTGTCAAAGATTCAATCAACCATTCAGCTTCAAAAGCTAACTCAAACGTTGCCAGTGGTGCTTGCTCGATGCTTTATCAACATAATTTTACTAGTCATGTTCTGAATCCTAACCCTTGACAACTTTATCTTATTCCAGGCAAGAAGTACAGAGATGAAGAAATTGTGAGCCTGGGCGATCAGTCAGATGGAGCTGTCATGCCATCTCCCACAAAGAAGCTACAGATATGCAAAGGCCTTTCAGATGCACCTTCAATAAGGAAATCAACTATCAGAATCCTGGGTGTTAAGGGAGCTGCTCTACCACCCACAGGGAAATCTCAAATTGAAACTGGGAAAAGCTTTGCTAATGCTCCAGCAGAAGTGATTTCTGCTAGTACAAATGAGATCAGTCAGTCAGAAAATGCAGCTGTCCCATCGCTTGCACAGCAATTGCAACCTGACACTGCAAAGAACTCCAGTGTCACCATGCATATCCATGAAACAAGTAAAGTCAATCAGTTGGCTGCTACAGTTGCTACATTACCAAGGTCGATCCTTCAAAATGATTACAATAAGAAGCCTTCCAATGTACCAATAATGGCTAACCAGGCCAGTGGGTTGGCTGGTGCGACTGCTCCCTTGATTACACCAAAGTTAGAAATCGGAAACATGAAGGACAGTTACAATCCTCTCTCAAATCCTGCTTACACAAGGGCGCTTTTAATCAAGCAGCAAGAGCAGCTGCTTCAGCAATTTAAATTGGGTAGTTCACAGCAGCAGCGGCAGGAACAGCAGCTCTACATAAAAGGGCCAGGTAAAGTTCTACCAATTGGAGTATGTTTTTCAATCTTGTTTTCTGTTATAGTTGATGATTTCCTGTCTTTGGCCTCTTCGTAACTGCCCCATTGCAATTTCAGCTCTGTTTGAGAATGATGACCCGCCACCGGTTGAGCCGCTGGGAACAAGGTGCCAGCTCTGCAAGCTTGATATTGCTTTCCGACCACAAGGGGATGCTGGCCGTGATGCCAATGCTCCTCCAGTCGTTGCGGTTCTGGCATGCCACCATGTGTTCCACAGCAGGTGCATTGAATCTGTTTACGGACTCGCTGAGCCCGCCGAGTGTCTTGCCTGCCTGGAGCCTGGGGCAGCTCACTGATCACTAACCAGAAACACCAGTTTAGCTTGATTTGAGCTATGGTATATGATAGAATTTCCTCTTATATTGCATATAGAGAGGGTGAGTATGCATTGATAGAAGTTTCGGTTGGCACAACGGTGCAGATCAAAAGTCTGAATGCCCCATTTCTGTGGGCCTTTAGATGGTGTAAGTAGCTACCATTGGAGTTCAATAGGGAGCTGAATCATGGAACTTGCCTGATATATTTTTTCTCTTGTTGTCGTCATAGTTAAAATCTGCAGTCAATTGACAGTGCCATTTTGAATACACTGTTGCAATCTGCGCTGGTTGGCTGGTGATTTGTTGTGACTTGTGGCTTTCTGAGTTGCGACCGCACTTGCGGTTGATTGGTTGGTTGTACCAGCTGGTGGGCATCTGGGCTGAAACTGTGGCCTGGGCTTGTGCCGCTAGCCTGCTATAAACCTGGCCTGTGCATACGAAATAGAACAGGCGCAGCCTGCAGTTAGCTATTGGGCTCAGGTTTGCGATTAGTGGCCCAGCTGTTGATGGCAATGCCTAACCATCATCATTGAAGGAAAAGCGTTGTACCTGAGGGCTGAGGGCCGAGTGCATGGTGTTCACATGGTCTCTGGCTGCTTTCGCATTCATACGCTGCATGCAAATGCAGGTGGCACTGTGCCAGTGCAACAGAAATGGACGGACGAGTAATAAAAAAAATAAAAATGGACGGACGAAGCCGGAAGGCAGTGGTTGGCGTGCTGCGGGACTCTGCCTCTAATTTCTAGCTGTATACAGTGAGATTTTAGTAGTCGATTGTTCCTTTCTTTCTTGGCGTTTAATTAGGCTTTTGTTCCTTTCTTTCTTGGCGTTTAATTAGTCTCTGTTTGGATTCCCATGGTCTAAAGTGTTGTATAAAATTTAGATCACCTCACAAAGCTTTAGACCACACTAGTGAATGGTCTGAAATTTTAGTCATCAACTTTAACTACTAAATTTTAGAACAGAGAATCCAAACGGACCATTAATCTGGGGCTGATTTTGCGTTGCTGTCTTAAGCCATTGCAATCGGTTCAACAATAATATTTCAAATAAAGGTTATTTCCAAACCAAGTTTGTAAATGAACCTGACAAATGGAGCTTAGCACTGACTGACCGGTTCTTGCGTGTGTGCGCATCTGGCCACAGAGGATCCGCGTCTCCGCGAACATGGCTACGGGAGAAGTGGTTGTTGGTGGCGGGTAATGCATGCCCCGCCCCCGATCCGTCAACCGACAGGAGAAGTACGCCGTTTCCGCCATCGTTACGTCCCTCAGAAGCAAAAACCAAGCCAACGACGACCAGGACGACACGGCCAAGAAACGGGAGTGTCTTCCAAGGCGACCGCCCCCTCTCGCACTCCAAACAGCACACATCCATCCATCCGTCAGCCCAGAGCCAACAAGACACAGCGAGCGAGAGGGCGGGGAGAAAAGAGTAGAGCGCGCGGCGCGGCAACCAGGTCCAGGAGAAAGGAACCCCAGCTAGCCTGGAGCCAAGAAGCCGAGGTGAGATTTTGATTGACATGGTTGCTGAGGCCTGGAAGCGAGGAGGAATTCGAGGCGGAAGAAGCAGAGATTTAGCGGCTGAAAGCTGATGGGTGCAATTTGTTTTGTGCTGCTGCTGCAGGGAGCGAGGGAGCAGCCAGGCATGGAGGAGCCCGTTCCGGCTGATCCCCCCAGGATTTTCTGGAAGTCAAGGAGATCAGGTGCCTGCTGTCTCAATTCCTGTTCCTGCATACAAAATCTTGCTGATTTCAAGTGCTTTTTTTTATCCCCCAAGAATCATCTTCTCGTGACTTACCCATCCTTATTTATTTCCCAGTTCTTGAAAAATGGCTAATTTCAGCTCAGTTCTCTGCAAATTTCTCTGTAATTCTGCCCAAAAGAAAGTAATACAGACATACAGTTCATACAGCAACATAATTAGATTCACACCAACACTATTAATCTCAGCTACTTTGTTTCCCTCCACAAGCACCGTTTTTTTTTCCTCGACCAGAACATTTTCCTTTTTGTTCATATATAAGTTTTGGTACTGGTGCCCGGGAATGTGCCGGTGAGATATTTCGTGTGGAGATGAATGATAGCCAGCTCACTCGCGTGACGTACCGGTAGTCCAGTACTAGTTAACAATTAACATAGCATGTTAATCACGCACCCGTGCTACTTAGTTGCTGTTGATAACTAACAGCCCATTTGGTGGTTCACGTGAGCGTAGCTGGTCATTTCAATCCCTTGTCAGCTACAGGTAGAGCAAACGTCTCAGTCTTTGCTTGTCTTCACCGCTAAGATGTACGGAGTAAGATCCCAAGCCTGCAGCTGCCAGTGTGGTGCTTAGTAATAGTGGTCTCAGGAATATGCTTGCAGCCAGAAATCATATTCCTAGACACCCTTTGCAGCAAGAGTAATTTCTGATTTTGCTACCGTGGGATTAGATTTCTGTGTGTTTTCTTGTCTGTTTCTGCCTTTCCATTATTTCCCCCTCTTTGCCGCGGTGAAGACAAGGCCAAAGACTAGTAGTATGCAATCGGTGTAGCGTTCTAGAGTTTCTAGGTATGGCAGCAGACAAGTATGAACAATTGTAACCGAGTAGCCGTCTAGGCATGGTCAAGTATGGAACAAACAGATAAACTACAATCTAGTCGTATATGAGTATCCTGTAGCATATGTCCAGACGGCAGTATGGTCGTGTCTCATGTGGGTCAGATTATGTAGCGTCGTGGAATGCTAATCAGGTCAATCTGATGCTACATCTGGTTGATACTGACCAATATGTGACGCTCTGACAGATTAAAATAAATCTGCCTTGGAAATTACTCTCTGACAGACATAAAAACAATGTCTCAGTCTTCTTTTCAGAGCTTGCCGTATTGTTCATGAATAGATCTTTATGTTGAATACAGTGTGTTATTTCGGTCCCTTGTTACTTTGCTTCTATGTGAAGGATGGTACATATACATATAGCATACTTGCAAGACACTGAAGGGATGTAAAGAATTAAAGAAATCCCACAAAAAAATGAAAGCAAGGGTTATAAAAATCTCACTAAGAACTGAATAAAAGCATCCCTTGGCCTCTCCATAAGCTGTTCACATGACAGCCAAACGCATCCTCACAACTCACTAACTTATTGGTTGTCAAAGTGAATGAACTTCCAACTGATCATATTGTAGAGCCAATGGTCATGTGTGCATTAGATTTTAACTGGGGAAGTGCACTGGCTCTTGATCTGACTAACAATATGTATGTTCCAGCCAATGGCCGGAGCTTGCAACAAGAACCTGACAAAGATGCTACCGAAGAAACTAATGAGCAGGCTCAAGAGGAACCCATGAAGACCGACGATGCAACAGATACAACAGCTACAGCTGAGGATGTACAACCAAACCCAAAAGCTAACTTATCTGAGAAGCGGAAGGCTCTCTTTGAGCCTCTCGAGCCGATCAACGGCAAGCGCAGTGCTGAAATGCTGCTTCCACCACCGGACTTTGAGCCCGCATCATATCCAAAGGGATGGCTGGTGGGCAAGAAACGCAAGCTCGTTAATGTAGATGTTGTGGAGAGCATGAGGAGGATTGCAATCCAAGAAATGAACAGAAAGGTTTATAATCTTTCTAGTGGTCTGATTCTACATACCTGCATGATATCATGCGGCACGCAATGCTATTTTTCTAGTACATGCATCGATGATCAAGCTGAAAATCCTGAAATGTTGGCTTCTGCTTTTATCTGCGATAAGAGTATCATGCTTGTGTGCCGCCTACGGTAAATTGTAGGCAATTTTGTTGCTGAATGTGCATCGAAGACTGACACATGTTATTACTGTGGAAACTGTGTGGCAGGACCGTGAGATCAATGGACTGAACGAGCAGTTAGAGGAAGACTCCCGTGTGCTGGAGCTTCTACAGAAGCAGCTTGCCGATGAGCGCAAGAAGCGGGCAGAGACTGAGAAGGAAAATTCTATGCTTCATGAGCAGGTGACCATGCTGATGAACATGCTGGACGAAAATGAGGGTTTTGATGAGGACGGAGGAGCTCCGCCGCCCGATTCCTTTGATTAAGCATTACATTACTATCCATTTTCCATTAGTATCAAATCATACACCTCTAGGTACCAGTTTCAGAGTATCCAAGAGATATATGCTGTGTAGAATTTCATTTATCATATTGCATTACATGGCTTGTTTTCTGTAGATAAAGGGTGCATGTCTGTTGCACCAACTCCTTTCTAGGCTTCAAATGTATGTGAGAAACTAGCAACATATTATATTTGAATCGAAGTGTATGTACATGTTATATGAAATTCTTCCTTGCTATGCAAATTGCAATGTCTTCTCCAACATTCCACATAGCAAAAGTCACAACTATGTCATATATACTACTCACATGCCTGATAAGATTAGTATACTTGAGGGGCATATCCCTCATATAGTCATATATGCAAGTAACACAAGCTGAGTATGATGAAAAACAAAAAAAAAATGATATCCAACAAGGGAGAGAGTACCATTTAAAAGGAAAATGCCATCAAAATGTAAACAAAATGTAGTTCCAACGTTGCATGTGGAGTTTCTCGGCGAACAGACATTTTGCTGCACCAATCTGCTGAATTATTTAAAGGGAAGAAGTAAAACAGAATTCTGGCGTAGCTGATTTATTGCTCATATTCACAATTTGTACAGCTGCTGCTTTAGTTCTAGGAGTAAACAGTTGATTGCACGATTTATTTATCAGAATTTTCTGCTATGTTGAACAAGAACTGTGGAATAGAAGCTACTGGGGGAAGGTTTAGCAGCAGCTCCCCGAAAGAATCATTTCTGGAAATGGTGAGCGGTTCTTTGGCTCCTGCAAGTGATGAGTTGAGCTCCTCCTCAAAGCCATCAGAATCCACTTGGTTTATGCCTATGTCATCACTGCATTCAGGCTTGCGCATGGTGGCTGGCACCGTGTCTTTCTCAAGCAAAGAGTAAAGGGAGTCAACCCTTGCCATCAAATATTTATCATCTGAGGCTGGCAGACTCTGTGTATCGCTGAAAAGGTATTGAACAAGATCTTCCAACACTTCTTTGGTTTTTCCATCATTAATGGTCAAAGGAGGATCACCTACACTCCTTTGATCAGCTTTGCAGTTACCTAGATGGTTAACCAAATCTTCCACAGATATGGATGCCTTCAATTCAGGCACTTTGAATTGATTCCACAATTCAGGCACTTTGAATTGATTCCACTGATTGCAATTCTTTGGTTCCTCAGAAACAGTGCCCTCAAAATTTCCAGCACCAAATCCTGTAAACACCAGATAATGAACATGGTTATATCAAAACATCACATATAGAAGCCTTGCAGTCTATACTAAATTGTGTGGCTAGAATTGATTACCTATGTTTATTGGTTGTCCAACATTCTTGGAGAGTGATGAAAAGACACATGTTGAGATGGGATCAGTGAACTTGGGCAAAGTAGCTTCATGTTCATACTTCAAGCCATTGAGATCAATGCATTTTGATTCATTTGGATTTTCAAAAATAGATCGCTTAGGTTCAAAACTTGGAGTTTGCAATACGGCATCTGGCTGCTGGCTCAATTCATGTAGACGTTGATCACATTGAATGAGCTTTTCAAAATTCTTGCTTAACAAACTTGAGGGGCACTGCAAGGTATGTCTCCTGCACACATAATCCTTTTTAGTATGTAGTTCCTTAGGCAGGCAACAAAAATAATAGTATATAAATCAACATGTAATAGAAGGTAAGTTACCAAAAACATTCATGAAAATCAAAACAAGCAAATCTAAATAGGAAGCTAATCTATTAGCTGAGTAACTAAAACAATATGCACATAAAAAGTTAAACATGTTTACAAAACAGAGTAGCAGCATAGGTCACAACTCCCCACTAAAAACATTTCTTTATGTAGAACATTGCCTTGGAAAATGCATTTTGCACTGGTTCTTCACCTGTTGAAGCTTGCCTGTCCATCAGTAAAATCTGATGCAGCCTGCCATAGTGTATGTTTCCTTGGCTGAGGATCAGTCTCTTTGAAGAAAAGGGGTGGGCGAGCCAACTTCACAAAAGAAAACGGGATGTTGTTAAAGGAACTGATGATGAGATGCAAAGGACTACAACAAAATATGTCATTCTCAGACTCTCAGGAACTTACCACTAGATCTAAGATCCCTTCTTGTTCATTATCTGGGCAGGTTGCCTTCAAAGCAATAATATCTGACCACTGAATTTCTATCTTACTCTTGAGACCATCATGTAGGACCTCCCAAACAAGCTTATGCTTTGCAAAGTAGCACTTTGCGACCAAGTCACCTTCATAGTGTGAAATGTACTGCTCAGAAATATTATTAGTGTTAGGGTAATAGGGTGGGTTGTTCGGAAAAGCTGCAAAATAGTTGCTCAAATATGCACTCCTCTAGTGTCATATAGTACAATAACAAAATGGAAATCCACATGGTCTTAGAAAAAGAGGAAACTGGAATTTTGTTACCTCCCAACTACCAATTCTCAAAACATTTGCAGGAAAATTTGAAGCTTTCAGTCGTTCACCAGCTTCAGGAGCACCAGATCTAACCTCTTTCTTCATGGGTGTATCAGAAACATTGTTGTGCACATCAAACTGTTCGCCGGCAGATTTTGCCTGAGAAAGCTTCATCTGAATAAGGTCCAGCAGAGATGGACTTTTTCTTAGTCGCAGACCCAATGGGCTAGGTTCATCAAGCACATCACAGGACAGGTCCTGCAACAGGTTATGTTGGAATCAGAGAACGAATTAAAGGGCCTTGTACAGTTGTAGTTTGGATACTAATTGAACAAACCAATAATACTTGAACAGAATATATAATCTATGAGGTATTTTTGCAAACACCTTAGAACTCTCAAGAACCTATAGCAGACACGAATGGCAAAGGCAGGCATCTGTCCTGAAAACTTAAATCATGTGCTGTAGATTTGAACAAACTAAAAGGACCTGACAGTCCTGGACAAATTTATCACGCCTCTTACATTCTCTGATTTTACAAGGAACCTTTATGTTTTCTAGACTTCCTCTCTAGACGCAGGACAATTGGACAAAGACTAAGCAAGTAAGCAACGGTCAAGATTTCAAGTAGTCAAACCATATATCCACATGAAAGGCTCAAACAAAATTTAACTTCGTGTCAGCGAGTCGATGCATCATGAACTGAATAATGCCGATGCATCATGAACGCGAGGAAGAAAAAAAAAACCTAATTTACCGATCTACGAGCCTGAGGCGGCGGCGGCGGCGGCGGCGGCAGTTTGACGCGCTTGTGAGGAGCACCATCACCGTAGCCGAAAATCTCCATCTCCGCCTTGACGGTCGCCGCCGTGGCCGGCTCGGCGCGCCGCTTCCCGAAGCTCGGAAGCTGCACCATTGCCACTTAATCCTAGCTTTTCACCTCGATTGTGATTTGCCAATCTACCAGGCGCGCGAGATCACGTCCAGGAGGCGCGAAGGCGAGAGAGGCGGCGGAGGAGGCAGGCGGGTTGGGCTCGGCTGGCCGGAAGTGCGATTCCGGACCTGCGGAGTATCGCGGTTGGTTGTTGGTTGCCGAGTCAGATACTCAGATCCGGCTCCGGCGGTGCGGCCGAAAGCCTGGCACACGCAAGCTTTTTTGTCACAAAAATGTGATACGCATATTTTCCCGATTTGACACAGAAAACTATCATATAGTCCTTTATCCATATATATAACAGCGGTATATAGAAAGATTTTATTCTGCCATATAGGATATTTGTTCCTAGTCATATGGGTTGCCAATTTAGTTTATAATAAATTTTATTCACTACAATACATCGGTTATCTATCATTTCAAATTATAAGACGGTTGAATTTTCTAGATACATGAATTTTGCTATAGATTTAGACATACATTATATTTAGATGCATAATAAAAATAATGTATCTAGAAAACCAAAATGTCTTGTAATTTAGAATAAATGAATTAGTTTTTAAGGCTTTGTATTGACTTGATATAATGCTATTGACGATTTAACAAAAAAATTCTTTTATAGAAAAACACCCTCACAAAAGTGATGTGCCTCATCCTGATTTTTTTTTTTGAACGTAGCGTGCCTCATCCTGATTTGGCAGCGTCATAGGTAGTGTTGTGCTTGTCTGCTTGATGGTAAATAGGTAATCTCGTTTGTAAGACTTGAACATATATTTCGAAAGTACAGAATTATTTTTGCACGTGCAAGTAACTTGAGATCTCAAGCAGGAAGATCAACAATAATCCATTCGACTGTATTCTGATTCGGGCTCAAAATAGTTACCCATGTTGTCTTACATGAATCGGTGGCCAAGATGGCTTCAAAAATCAAAACCTTTAACAACTCTATGGGATATTGAGATCCAGAAAACCAACAATAAACAAGACCTTGCTCATGCAACCACATTTCAACCATCCGCAAAAAACAATACCTACTATACGGGTGTTTGGTTGACGGCCATTGGCCGCCACGCCACAGCTGTGGATCGCCACCAGAATCTTGACTTGACGCTTGTTTGGTTGGTGATTCAACCGAGGTTGCCACAGCTTTTTACAGCACAAAATCCACAGAGTGGCGTCAAAAACCACGCCACCCCCTAGCCGCACTTTAGGCGTGGTTATCTGTGGCCGGCGTCCAAACAGCATCTATATATTATATGTTTTTCTCGCCGCCCCTGAAATCTATTCATCCTGTTCGTTTGATGGTTTCAATCAGCTCAAATCAGTCAGCCAACAGTGTTTTTCTCACACAACAAACCAGCATCAGCCAGCCCAAACCAGCCTAGAAACCAACCAGCGAACAGACCGATTGCTGGTGATTGACTTGCCCTCCTTCGTTCCTATTTTCTCTCCTTGTTCTTATTCAGCTCCATGACACAAGCAGCGGTGATGTATCATCGGGAAACAACCTAACAAAACTCAGGCCAAACAATGTGAAATGAACCGATTTCAAAACCATCATCGGTTCTATATAGTTGCTGGTCGGGAACTGTGCATGCTTTCAAGCAGAGATATACTCACAAGTTAAGTCGAACACTTCCTCAAATTACAAAAAAGTTAAGCCAAACACTACAACAACCTGAAATATCTGAAATCTGGTGGCAATTAAAAAGGGACACCAGCTCCATACATAGAATCGCCACAGCAGGTCCTACCATTCAGATCATAGCATAGGTCATTATGTAGAAACTAGGAAGCAAGCACATGTCCTCACTGAGACACTGACTAATCCCAGTATCACTGTACCTAAGGGCAATAGGATTTAGGGCAAGAACGATGCTTAGCCAATAGCCATGGTGGAGAGCTGCGGCATGGTGGTGATATATTATACAGTAGGATAAGGGGAGGTGCCTTGAGTCGGCGACTGATGATGTGGATGACGGCTGACAGTTTGGTGTGTACGATGTGAATTGTGATTTTGTTGATGGTCTGTCTAAGAATATCTGACTGTGTATCAAAAAATTGCCAACCCAAACTCTGTCAAATGAGCCTGCCGGGAACAACACTTGTATTGTTGGATACTATTATCTTATTGAGGATTAGCCGATTAGTTAAATCAAGCCCTACAGCTTAGAAAAGCCAATCGTATATGAGATACTGCAATTACAAAGCCACTCAGCTCAATAATATAATTATAAACCAACCCCAATCTTTCATTCAGATTATTGGTCATGGTCATGGAATTACACAACAACCAAAGCACATATATAATGGCATGTGGTAGCACTGTATGCAAGGACTAGGAGTAATTCACAGTCACATACATCCTTCCATTCAGATTATTGGGCAGCCGCAACAAGCAAGCACAACAGTGAACACTGCAAGAGGCAGGACAGAGTTTACACTGACACTTGGCCACGGCAGAGAGCTGCTGGTGGTCGACTCACGGCTGATTGGGTGTGGTTGAGCTGAGAGACTGTCGAGTTCAGGCGTCGGCGAGGCGGGCGACGACGGGGTACTTGGCCTGGAACTTGGTCTCCCAGTCGGCGAGGACGCCGAGCTCCTTGTCGGTGAGCCCGGAGAGGTCCCCGGAGACGTCGGCCTCGTCCTTGGACATCTTACCCAGGGCGCGGCTGGCCTCGCGGCCCGCGAAGACGGCGTAGGCGCCGCCGGGGCCGTAGAAGCCGCGGCCGGAGGTGACGTCGTAGACCTTGCCCCGGACGGAGACGTAGATGGGCTTGGACGGGTCGGTGCCGTCGTACGCCCGCAGCTGCGCCGCCGTCAGCTCCGTCGCCATCGCTCTTAATTCGGCGCGGCGGATCTCAGCGGGGGTGGGGAGGAGGAGGGGATTCGGGTCGCCGGTGGCGCCCCGGGGGTTGGTGCCGTGGATTGTTGGAGCGACTTGCGACTGAAGCGGTAGGCACCGGCGGTGTGGTGTGAGTGTGACCGTGAGAGGAGTGGGGACGGACGAGGAGCCGCTGCGTGAAGCGCACGCGACGACGTCACCAGTGCCGTCCTCTCGGAACGGTGAAACGACAAGGGCCACACGGAAGAAGGTGTCGTGGGTTTGGTTGGGCCGTCCCGTCCTCAGAACTTGAGGCCTGCAACGAGTGGCATGAGACCCACAAAGGCCGCAGTCGGCCTCGGGATTGGGTCCACTCGTGAGCGTGGGTGAACGAAGGGCTTGATTGCTTTATTGTCCTGGAGCTTTGTCTTTGGGCCTGCCACAGGGTAGATCTTGCTTCATCTTAAAAAAACATAATCACTTTTTTGAGTAATCAAATAATTTTAAAGTTAACTAAATCTACACAAAAATGCTACCATCTGTAATATTAAATAATAAGTATCCTTACATTAATTATGAAATATTTTTTATGGTATAAACCTAGTTGAGACATAAATGTCGATATTATTTTCTATAAATTTATTCAAGTTCAAGGAAAGTTGACATGTTCTAATTCTAAACCTTAATTAAATGTATTGATTTTCAGACGGGGGTAGAAACGCATGCACCTTTGATACAACCCTCGCACCTCGGAGGCATCAGCATAGCCTGGAATTCAAACAATCCAGCGCTGCCATTAGCATACTCCATCTCCGGTTCGCCACTGCCCAGTTCACATGAGGAGCGAGCGCGAGCGCATCCAGGATTAGGCAGAAACAACATCGACACATTCGACACTATTTTTGATGTGAATCCCCAGGTATAGCCGTCATGGCCACGGGTTACATCGAGGCGTGCCAGCCTCTTCCCTGGTGTCAGAGTTTTGACCAAGGCCCATACGCTTGGACCTAGAGTGGTTGGCGGCGGTATTGGTCCCCGTCGGACGAGACGGAACCCGTGTCCTTGGGGTCGAGCGAGATGGAGCCCATGACCTTGGACGAGACGGAACCCGCGTCCTTGGGATCAGGTGAGACGGAGCTCGCATCCAAGGGGTCGAGCGAGACGGAGCTCGCGGCCTCGAGGTCGGGCGAGACGGAGCCCGTGGCCTTGGGGTCGGGCGAGACCTTTTAATACGTCTCGAGCCATCCGGGGAAGTCAGCGTGGGCGCTAACTTCCTTGCTTTGGGTATCCCTAATATCGATACCATACAGTAGCCCCTGAGCCTACGGAGGAGTAGAATACTCCTTTGGAGGCTTTTCCGGACGGGAGGACTTTGAGGACATTGGCCTTCTTTTTGTAGCCCGCGACGTGTCCTGGTAGGACGGCGATTCCCTTTTATCGTGATAGGTCTTCTTGGAGGCATGTAGCCGTAGGATTCGGGAGGTCAGAAAGATTTTTCTTGACTCTGGTCCCCTAGGATCCGATCGGTCCACCATCGTCCTATGACCGCACGTTCGGTCTCCTTGCGAGTCTAACTTCCCTCGAGCCCCCACGCGTAGCAGGGGTCCGGTCGAGGGTCGGTGTGGGGGATATGACCCTCGATATCCATAAGACAAGACATGGGTCGCACCATCAGAGGTGGCCCAGCCCACAAGATCAAGGCGTGCACGGTACTGGTCGACGTGCACCGCAAGATATTATATAGTACCAAATAGAATATTTTCCTTATAACCCTATCCCTCCAGAGCATATAAGGAGGGGCAGGGGTTATCTCCATAGATCTACATACATCTCATATACAATACAATACACCAAAGACACATAACGTAGGGTATTATGTCGATCAGACGGCCCGAACCTGTCTAAATCGCTGTCTCTGCGCCTTGTGTCACCATTTAGTTCCTGATCACGCGCACCTCCACCGATCAATCTACCTTCGTGGGATACCCCTCGGAGGACTGTCGAGCATCTTTTGTCGACAGTTGGCGCCCACCATGGGGCGTGTGCGTGTTGATCCATGGCGAGCCAGATGGCAGACCTCGATTCCACCATACGGCGGCAACTCGGCGACGGAATCAATCTACTACGACTCTACTCTCCCGCCAGAGCCGCTAAGCGA